AGATTGGGGAGAGTGATGAGAGGATTGGTTAATACGAAAAGGGCATCATCCGCATAAGTTGGCCTTGTATTGAGTGTCGGCATGGGGGACACCAGAAATATCCGGGTGATTTCGAATGGCTGCTGCTAAAGGTTCAAAAGCGAGAACAAAGAGTAGGTGATAATGGCCATCCCTGTCTCCTGCCCCTGAAAATAGGGAAGGATGAGGAAAAAAAACCTGCATATTTAACAGAGGCCGAGGGAGACGAATATAAAGCTGAGATCCAAGCCAGAAATGCGTCACCAAACCCCCATCTAGACAGCGTATATGTTAAATATTCCCAAGAAAGTGAATCGAACACTTTATAAATGTCTAGGGATGAAAGAAACCCTTGTATCTTGCGGCGATGTAAAATATGAATGAGATGGATGACTTTACGGATGTTATCAGCAGCTTGTCGCTGTCACAAACGAAGCCAACCTGATCTCGATGAGTGAGTGAGAGCAGATACTTATTAATACGAGTGCTCAGAATCTTTCCCAGAATCTTCAAGTCCACGTTTAGCAGCGAGATCGGTCTGAAAGCTTGCGGGTCAAAAGCATCTTCAGCTTTCTTAGGGATCATAGTAATATGCACCTGAAGAGACTCCAATGAAAGCCAAGAACCCTGCTTCAAAGAATTGAAAAAGGCCATCAAATGAGAAACCAGAACGGTGGCAATTTTTTTATAATAGAGCCCAGAAAACCCATCTGGGCCTGGAGCTGTGGAGGCCTTCAAAGATTTGATAGCTTGGTAGAGTTCAGATTCAGAAATATCCGCATTCAGGACATCTCGGGCTGCGTCGGATAAAGAGGGTAGGCGTAGCTCAGCAAAAAGCTATCAGCATGTTCAGCGACAAAAGTGTTCGGTGTTTGGTAAAGAGAGGACAAAAAATCTGCAAATCTATGAATAATCTTCACAGGGTCCGAGGTAAGGCCACCGCCCCTCATGCGGAATTGAACAGGTTTATGCGTGCGACCAAGCGAATTAAGTTTCTTGGCCAACATTGGCCACGGTTTATTGGCGCATGTATAAAATCTATGTCCGGCCCAACGTAAGGCCTAGTGGAGAGAAGATCAAGTTCAGCAGCCACCTCATCTCGAGCTTTCCTATTGGCCGTAGTTGGGCAGGCTTTCCAAGTAGTGTCCACCACGGCCAATCTCTAGGTCAATTTCAACATCTTCTTCTCTGTGGCCCGTTTCCTGGACGAGGCAATTTGAATCAGATGACCCCTAATGGTAGCTTTGTGAGCCTATCACAGAGAAACGGCCAAGGAAACAGAACCCACATTGTCCATAAACTAGTATTGAATGTGCGAAAGAACCTGGGAGCAAGAAGCCTGAGTGGTGAGCAGGGATTCATTGAGTCTCCACAGAAAAGATGGCCGAGCCATACCAGAAAGACACAGCAAAAAGACCAATGGGTCATGATCAGACCAGGGTGAGGTTGAGATGACAATCTTTTGAATTAAAGATAAATGTTTGAAGGAAATGAAAACATGATCTATTCTACAAAAGCTCAAGTGTGGGGCCGAATAAAAAGTGTATTCCCGCACCCTAGGGTGCATTTCCTGCCAAACATCAACCAAACCATAAGCTTGCACGCAATTTAGATTCCTGAGAAAGGTCGTGGCTAGGGGTCCCTCCCGTTGGGTAATGGCAATCGACAGAGGAATTAAGAGCAATATTCGAATCACCCAGCAATAAGAGGATACCACGTTGGTGGTGGGAAATCGCCTTCAGCAAGTGAGAAAAAAATTTGTGTTGAAATCTACAGGTAAAACTCGAAAAATTTGAATATCGTGCAAAAGTTCATTTATTTCACTAATGCAACTTAAAAGGTGAAACTAATATATGAGATAGACTCATTACATGCAAAGCAAGATAGTTCAAGCCATGATTTGTCATAATTGTGATGATTATGGCTTACAGCTCATGAAAACCCCAAATCCACAATCTCAGAAAATTAGAATATTGTGAAAAGGTGCAATATTCTAGGCTCAAAGTGTCCCACTCTAATCAGCTAATTAAGCCATAACACCTGCAAAGGGTTGTTGAGCCTTTAAATTGTCTCTCAGTCTGGTTCAGTAGGAATCACAATCATGGGAAAGACTGCTGACCTGACAGTTGTGCAGAAAACCATCACTGACACCCTCCATAAGGAGGGAAAGCCTCAAAAGGTAATTGCAAAAGAAGTTGGATGTTCCCAAAGTGCTGTATCAAAGCACATTAATAGAAAGTTATGTGGAAGGGAAAAGTGTGGAAGAAAAAGGGGCACAAGCAGCAGGGATGACCGCAGCCTGGAGAGGATTGTCAGGAAAAGGCCATTCAAAAGTGTTGGGGACTTTCACGAGGCGTGGACTGAGGCTGGAGTCAGTGCATCAAGAGCCACCACACACAGACGGATCCTGGACATGGGCTTCAATTCCTCTTGTCAAGCTGCTCCTGAACAACAAACAACGTCAGAAGCGTCTTACCTGGGCAAAAGAAAAACAGACCTAGTCTGTTGCTGTCAAGGTCCTACCTTTTCCCTGAGGTTATGTTACTCCATGTGCTGGCGTCCATCTTGGATTCTGCTGTGCATGATGGGAATCCTTTTTATGCCTTCAGGTCTCTGAGGTCCACCCCCCAGAGGGGCGTGGCTGATGACATATAAGCCTGTGGCCCGCACATGCTCTCTGCACTTGTGTCTTGTGTCTTTGTGTTGCTGTTACTCTGTTCTGACTCTCGTGACTCTCCTGGTATTCTGATTCGGCTTGTGACTTGACTATTCTTTGTATTCTCCTTTGATCTGACCCTCTGTTGCTGAACCCGGCTTGTGACCTGTGATTCTCTCTCGTCTGCTGTCCTGTACTGTTTTGTCCTGTTGTTGTTGACCCCGGCTTGTCTGACTACTCTTTTGTTTCTTCCACCAGCTACACGCCATTGGCGGCGGCCATTACCGCAGCTGAGGTGTCTCGGGGGGCCGCGACCTGGTTCCTGGCTGCGTCAAGTCCATCCCCACCATCAGGGGCCCTGGTGAAGGGCAGCCTGGGACTTAGACTCCGCGCCCTGAGGGACTTCGGTCTGTGGGTGGTGGTTGTCGTCAGCCAGTGCGTTACATTGTTAGGCCTGCCTGTCCGTTCCTCGGCTCCTCCTGCCCTGACAGTTGCACAGTGGTCCAAAGTCCTCTTTTCTGATGAGAGCAACCTTTGCATCTCATTTGGAAACCAAGGATCCAGAGTATGGAGGAAGAATGGAGAGGCACACACTACAAGATGCTTGAAGTCCAGTGTGAAGTTTCCACAGTCTGTGTTGATTTGGGGAGCCATGTCATCTGCTGGTGTTGGTCCACTGTGCTTCATTAAGTCCAGGGTCAACGCAGCCGTCTACCAGGAGATTTTGGAGCACTTCACGCTTCCTTCCGCAGACGAGCTTTATGGGGATGCTGACTTAATTTTCCAGCAGGACTTGGCACCTGCCCACACTGGCAAAAGCACCAAAACCTGGTTCAATGACCGTGGGATTACTGTGCTTCATTGGCCAGCAAACCCGCCTGACCTGAACCCCAATCTATGGGGCATTGCCAAGAGAAACATGACTAAACTATGCAAAAGAGCTGAAGGCCACTATTGAAGTATCCTGGTCTTCCATAACACCTCAGCAGTGCCACAGGTGATAGCTTCCATGCCACGCCGCATTGAGGCAGTAATTGCTGCAAAAGGGGCCCAAACCAAGTACTGAGTACATATGCATGCTTATACTTTTCAGAGGTCGATACTGTTCTATGTACAATCCTTGTTTTATTGATTGCATGTAATATTCTAATTTTCTGAGATTGTGGATTTGGGGTTTTCATGAGCTGTAAGCCATAAGCATCACAATTATGACAAATCACGGCTTGAACTATCTTGCTTTGCATGTAATGAGTCTATCTCATATACAGTATTAGTTTCACCTTTTAAGTTGCATTACTGAAATAAATAAACTTTTGCACGATATTCTAATTTTTCGAGTTTCACCTGTATTTGGCGCATAATAACCCACCAGGGTCACCTCCTGATCCCAAAGGGTACCCCGGAGGAGCAAATATCTACCGGTGGGGTCAGCTATTTTCAGGTTGCAGGTAAACAGCAGATTGCGTCTAAAAGCAATCATCACGCCCCTATCCTTCTCAAGGGCCGAGGCAGGGAAAAAGGTTGGATAATGGTGGGAGAGGTAGTGCGCCGCGGTAGATTGAGAAAACCTTGTCTCCTGTTGGCAGACGACGTCCACGTCTTGGGACTTAAGATGATGGAACACTTTAGAATGCTTGGTCAGAGAAATAAAACCATGGATATTTTGAGAGAAAATCTTCAAAGGTTTTAAAGCCATACTGAGTCAAGGGAATTTAGCTGCCAAAGTATGCTAGGAATAACAGTCCAATCCTCAAATGCAACCTTACCCTGGGCTGCCCCGGATCCGTGAAAAAAATGAAAAAGCAAGAGACAGAAGAAGAAAATGTACACTCTAAGGTAGTGTAACGAAACCACAATCAGTGGAAATTGCGTCCTAACCATAAGGACACACATAGGGGATGGCTCTACCACCGGGCACATGGGTGCGTCATAAACAACATAATATAAAAAGAACCTTCATGGGGAGGGGAAGGAAGGGGGAAGGGGAAGAAAAAGGAAAGTGTCAGGGATCTCCTCGATCCCCGCCGCGATGGTCCCGGCGCAGGCGCAGTGCACCGCTCTGTGCAGGGACACGGGCACTAGGTCCGGGCCGGCCGCGGCGTTCGAGTTCGCGTATGCGCAGTAGAAGCCGCGTGCGCCCGCTGGGCACCAATGGCAGCGCAGGGCGGGATATTTAAATGGCCCTGAGCTGTCATTCAGTGCCTTCTGGTCTTCCCTGCATCCTGTATCCTGTGAACCTGTACCCTGTAAGTTTTTGACCCGGATTGTACCTGACCTTGCTGCTTTCTCCTATTCTGACCCTTGCTTTGCCTGACCTCTCTCCTGAATGCCCCTTATTGGATTTGACCTGCTGTTGCTGACCTGGCGTTGCTGACTATGCCCGCTGCCTTGTACCTTGCCGTCCTCTCTTTTACCGACCTGGCCCGTCTGACCTTGCTCATCCATCCATCCATCCATCCCTTGCAGTGGGGTCTTCTGACCTCCTCATATCAGACTCTTCCCCGTGGGAGCCCTTGGCGCATACCACTACCACTGACGGACGCACCCAGTAGCCACGACCTGGTCTCGGGGGGCTCCAAGTCCATCCCCACCATCAGGGGCCCTGGTGAACAAGCACCCTGGGACTTAAATTCCGTGCGCTGGGGACGCCTATTCAGTGGAGTGCTAGTGGTACCGCCAGGCGGTCCCTTACAGTACCAGAAGGCCATGACTGAGTCTAGAGGAGGGCCCTCGCCGCTTGAGGAGATCTGCAGGCACCTGTCTAATTTGACACAGGCCGTATCGGCCCTGCAGGATAGATGTCAGCAGATTGAAAACCAATTCCAGACCTGCACTATATCCGTTCCTGCCCCACTGGCCGCGGTCCCCGCACCCCCGGCCGTAGCAGCCCCTGTGCCGGTTTCTGGGGCGTCCGCACCACTCCCGGCGGCCGAACCCAGAGTACCCTTACCGGAACGTTTTCACGGGGACTGCACACGCTTCAAGTCATTCCATGAGTCCTGTCTTCTCTATTTTGAGTTGCAACCCCGGACCTTCGTGACTGAATCCGTGAAGGTGGGGTTCATCATCTCCCTCCTGCAGGGTGAACCCCAAGACTGGGCCCACCGACTGCGGGGAAAAAATGACCCTCACCTTAGTTCGGTTGACAATTTTTTTGACGCAATGGCCATCCTATATGATGACCCACAGCGGGCAGCTTCTGCTGAAGCTACTTTGTACACGCTCCGGCAAGGCCGCCGAGCGGCGGAGGAGTACGTGTCTGAGTTTAGGCGCTGGATGGGGGACACACGCTGGAACGAGTTTGCACTCCTGCATCAGTTCCGTATAGGCCTATCAGAAGGCCTGAAAGATGAGCTCGCCCGGGTGGAGGTGCCTGAGACTTTAGAGGACTTAATAGCACTGACCATTAAAATTGACCGTAGACTGCGGGAACGCAGGTTTGAGAGGTCCGGCCAGGGTCATGGAAATCCCTGGGGGTCATTTCAAGGTCCCAGTCAAGCACCTAGGCCAAACATCCAGAACCGGCCACCTGGAGATATCCCTGAACCCATGCAACTCGGCCTGGCACGGCCTAAACTATCTCCAGAGGAACATCAGCGCAGACGATCCCAGAACCTGTGCCTCTACTGTGGTGAAGCTGGTCATATGGTACGATCCTGCCCGCAGAAACTGAGTAAGTGCACCTCTTCTTCCTTATCCATTGGCAATGTTGGTCCATCCCAATACTTAGTGGTGCCCCTTTCCTTTCAGCTTCCAGAAAGGACCGTGGAAGTATCGGCCATAGTTGCAGCATGCAGCTGCTTCTTGGACATTAATTTTGCTCACCAGCAGGGTATTCCTCTCCAATTGAAACAGAAGGGGTTCAATATTTATTTGGTTGACGGTTCCTGAATAAAATCGGGGGGGGGGTAGTGAACCAGGAAACCCCCTCCATCGCCACTGTCATTGCCGGCCAGCACCAGGAAACTCCTCCGCCTGGATGCTATAGCTTCACCCCTCTTCCCAGTCATTCTGGGGCTCCCATGGTTACGGTCCCATAACCCCCAGATTGACTGGGAGACCGGAGTAATCTCGTTCCCTTCCCCATACTGTCGGGTATACTGCCACCAACTTCGGGCCCGGGGGTCCCCCAAATCCTCCTGTGCTCTGAGGGGGAAGCCGAGTTAAAACAAGTAATCCCTGCAGCCTACCATGAGTTTCTAGATGTGTTCAGCAACGGGGAGCCGATACTCTACCCCCCCACCGCCCTTATGACTGTCCCGTTGACCTGTTACCCGGTTCAGAAATTCCTTTTGGGCGAATCTTCCCCTTTCAGAGCTCGAATTGGGGGCCCTGAAGGAATATATCGAGGACAGCCTCCAGAAGGGGTTCATTCGCCCCTCCACTTCACCGGCGGGGGCGGGAATTTTCTTTGTTGAAAAGAAAGACAAAACCTTAAGGCCCTGTATCGATTACAGGGAATTGAACAGGGTCACGATAAAGAACCGTTACCCACTGCCGTTAGTACCGGAGTTATCCAAAGTTTAAAAAACAGCAGTGGTTTTTACACAAAGCTGGATTTGAGGGGAGCGTACAACTTGATTCGCATAAGGGAGGGGGACGAGTGGAAGACGGCCTTCCGCACCCGCACTTCGGCCATTTTGAATATTTGGTCATGCCGTTCGGGTTGTGTAATGCTCCGGCCACTTTTCCAAACACTTTGTGAATGATATTTTTAGGGACTTTCTGGATGTCTTTGTTATCGTTTATTTAGACGACATTCTGATTTTCTCCCCTTCTTTGGGGGAACACTGAATACATGTAGCAAAGGTATTGGGGCGATTGCGGCAGCATGGGTTGTACGCCAAGGCAGAGAAATGTTGTTTTCGAACAATCAGCATTACTTTCTTGGGCCTGATATATCTCCACCGCGGGGGTCGCGATGGATCCTCAGAAAGTCGCTGCAATACTGGATTGGCCTGAACCCACGGACAGGAAAGGCGTCCAACGATTTATCAGTTTTGCAAATTTTTACCGGAAGTTCATCAAGAACTTCTCGGGTCTGGTCTCCCCCATTACTCAGCTAACCAAGCTGGAAACCCGGTTCAGATGGACACCAGAGGCGCAGGAAGCTTTTGAAGCCTTGAAGAAGCTGTTCACCTCGGCACCCATTTTGAGTCACCCAGACGCCGCTCTGCCCTATATCTTGGAGGTGGATGCATCGGAGAATGCGGTAGGTTCCATCCTCTCCCAGCGGAAAGGCACCAAGGAACTGCTCCATCCTGTAGCATTCTTCTCACGAAAGCTTACCCCAGCGGAGAGAAGAATTATGATATCGGTGATCGAGAGCTACTGGCGATCAAAACGGCGTTAGGGAATGGAGGTACCTGCTGGAAGGTGCGGTGCACCCATCTTAATATTTACTGACCACAAAAACCTGGAATATCTGAGAACCGCCAAGCGTCTACACCTGCGACAGGCAAGATGGGCACTATTCTTTTCAAGATTCAACTTCCACATTACGTACGGCCTGGATCAAAGAAAACTAAGCCAGATGCGTTATCACGAATGTACGAGGACGCCAAGGAGATCCCAGTACCCGACACCATCCTGTCCTCGGGTAACTTCTTGGCCCTTCAGTCGGACCTTTGTTCCAAGATAATGGAGGCATCCACAACCATCTCTACCCCAGGCAGGAGGGCCGCTCCAGAACAAGGGGGGGACTCCTATGGAGGGAAGATCGAATTGTGGTGCCGGAGGAAGCCCGAACCCTGGTCTTGGAGCATTGCCATGACCACCGATGGCGGGGCACTTTGGCCCCAAAAAGACCCTGGAACTTCTCCGACGCTTCTTCTGGTGGCCGGACATGGCTAAAGATTGTAAGGGCTATGTAAGGTCCTGTATCACCTGCCAGAAGAACAAGCCAGCAAGAAACAAAGTTTGGGGTCTGCTGTGACCCTTACCGATTCCTGAACGGCCTTGGCAAAAGATCTCGTTAGACTTTATAGTCGAGCTTCCGCCATCACTAGACCACACGGCAATCCTGGTGGTCGTGGACCGCTTGTCCAAGATGGCCCACTTCATCCCGTTGAAGAAAAACCCCCTCAGCGGCCGAGACTGCGCGAGTCTTCATTCGTGAGGTGGTAAGGCTGCATGGGGTCCCCGAAGACATTGTCTCGGACCGGGGGGTCCAGTTCACGTCCAGATTTTGGAGAGCACTGTGCAAAGCCCTGGACATCAAATTGTCCCTCTCCTCTGCGTTCCACCCTCAAACTAACGGTCAAACCAAAAGGACCAATCAGACCCTGGAGCAATACTTAAGATGCTACACTTCGTTTACTCAAGATGACTGGATGCCACTTCTACCCTAGCGGAATTTGCGTACAACGCCCGCCACTCAGCGACGGGACAGTCCCCGTTCTTTGCCAACTATGGCTTTCACCCAGTCTTCCTCCCGGATTTGGTCTTCGAATGCCCAGTACCAGCAACGCAAGATGTGGTAACGTTTTTCTCCACGAACAATAAGAAGCTTCAAGAGGCCATCAGTCGGGCCCAGGAAGACTACAGGAAGGCATCAACAGGAAACGGAGGGGAGATCTGGTGTTGCGGCCTGGGGAGAAGGTTTGGCTAGCGACGTCCAATTTAAAGATGCTTTGCCCGTCGAAGAAATTGGGACCCAAATTTATAGGCCCCTTCTGCATTAAACGGATGCTTAACGAAGTGGCCTACGAACTCGTCCTTCCTGACACACTCAAGATCCACCCAGTCTTCCATGTGTCCCTGCTGAAGCCAGTAGTCCAGATGCTTTCCCTGACCGGGAATCTAGACCCCCGGAAGCCATAACGGTCGAGGGAGAAGAAGAATTTGAGGTAGAAACAATCCTGAAGTGTCGAAGGAGGGGAGGCCAGACCCAATTCCCTATCAAATGGAAGGGCTATGGCCCTGAGGACAATTCTTGGGAGCCAGCCCATAATGTCCATTGCACCCAGACTTGTCCGGAGGTTTTTTCGCGATCACCCGTGGTGGAGAGATCGGGTGGGCATCCGGAGGTTGCCCGTAGGGGGGGGGCAATGTCAGGGATCTCCTCAATCAACGCCGCGATGGTCCTGGCGCAGGCGCAGTGCACCGCTCTGTGCAGGGACACGGGCACTAGGTCCGGGCCGGCCGCGGCGTTCGAGTTCGCGCATGCGCAGTAGAAGCCGCGGCTGCCCGCTGGGCACCAATGGCAGCGCAGGGCGGGATATTTAAATGGCCCTGAGCTGTCATTCAGTGCCTTCTGGTCTTCCCTGCATCCTGTATCCTGTGAACCTGTACCTGTAAGTTTTTGACCCGGATTGTACCTGACCTTGCTGCTTTCTCCTATTCTGACCCTTGCTTTGCCT